TGCTTACGCAATGAAAATTTCGAACAAAAATGATCAAACGACACATATGGTAAACCAAGACACAGGTGAATGAAGGAGAACAACGCTGAATTAAAGGAAATGCTGGAAGCCGTTCTTAAATAAACTACACAGGTATTAACGACATAGTTTAACGTTTACTTACCTAAAATTAAAATATGAAAAACGTGCTGGAAATTGCTTTGTTGAATCAGTGTAAAAATAAAGGAATATTGAATCTAATTGTGACATGTGACGAACAGTGAATTCTTTACGATAACCGAAAATTGAAAATGCAATGGCTGACCTCAGCTGAACACAACAGAAACATTTTATTGAAATAAAATCTTTTCACCTTTTGAAGTAGGTTTTATTTCATTGAAACTCCATGTTATAAGCACTGCTCTCGACAACAAGCACTGCAGGTCCCAGTTAAGAAATAAGCTATGGCAATTGTAGAAATTAGAAATAACCAAGTAATTACAATCAATAAAATACAGAATCATTAACTTTTTGCATGGTGGTTGGGACTCAAGGAGTATCAAAACTGACCAGCTGAGGATGCGACCACCTAACTCTCTAGCTTCAATATACATATAACATCTTAGCGAATATTATGACAAGTATACGAAATATATAATATATTACGTTTCATTCTACTAATTTTACATGTCTTTTGATGGATTTTGTAATAAGTTGGAAACACTGCTGTCAAATATATATTCATCATTCTTTATTAATCGTTCGTCGTTATCAAAGAAGTAAATTGAAACGAAATACCGCTTTAATATCGCTTAGATATCGTATCTTATGGTTAGAGTTATAGCTAGAGGAGTTAAGCGATCGCTCCGCTAATCTTTTATGAAAAATCTTCGAAAATGTGACATTTTATTCCGCCATTACTTTCAATTATGACCGCCCTTCGACCTTTCCAAATTTCCAAACGGGCATGGAATATTGATTAAACGTCAATGAAATGTCAATTTGAGTCTCGCCCCGCCCTGGGCCATGCGTGTTAGCACAACCCCTGACCAAACATTACCACCACCACCACGCACGAAGCGTGCGTCGCCACTACCGACAACAAATGATAGATAAACACTTTAATAATTCATCCAGGTGGTAAAGGGCTTTTGGCGTTATTAATAAGTGTTATTTTTAACTGAGTTATGTGTTTGAAAACACACTGTATTCTTTATAGGTAGAAGTTATTCTGGTATTATTACATCCCTTTTGAATCTTTCTTAAAGACATTTTCGATATTAAATTCTTTCAATGGCTTTTGGGCCGTCCTTGGCGGCAATTCATTAACAAAAACTATTTAAGCCCTATTAAGCCCTTAGTTTGCACCAGATCTCGATTCTGGGTTGTCTCAGATGTGGTGTTCAGGGTTCCTCGGTGCGTATGTGGACCACCATGTAGGTTTGATCTGTCTATCCCCCTTCCGCGAATGTATTAGTTTCTTATTCGATCCCGTCTCACGGCAAATAATGCATGGTAAGGAAATTAAAATGTAAATTATCTTACATCACATACAAACAATAGAAGCATTGTCAGAATGCGAGACAATGTCGCAGCATCACTTCGGTATTCGTCAATAAATTGTTGGCAGTCCAGAGGCATTGATAAAAGGCTGAATTGTTTGCTTATCGAGCCGTAAGTACCTATGTGGGGTCCGGTGCAACGATTGCAACACCGTGATATACAATATCGCGTCGTTCGTTGGTATTTTGAGATTTTCCGTTTGACTTGGGTTGGGGCGAACAACGATGGTGTAAGTGAAAAGCGAAAGCGCTATTTTCAGCTCACAAAAGATATAAAAGTTAAATGGTGAAAGTACAACCAATCAGGCACGTCATATAGCTCTCAATGTACAGATTTGCCACATTTTTTAGACAGAATATCAAAGTTAAGACTACTTGTTCTTGCTTTTTAAAAAAATCAAGTTATCTATGGACCTCAATTTTTAAAGTCATGTCACTTTGGTCGAATATGTGAGGTTTTTGTAAACCTAGTAAAGCTTCGAACACTGACATCGCTAGGGTTCTTCCTGAAAGGGCATAACGTATTGCCCTCCGTCAAAAAAAAGAGTTATGTCGTCGGTATGTAAATAATTTGGTGATTATTCGACACCCGTGTAATGGAGATGTTATATGTAAATGTTCATTGTAATAATTGTTTGAACTGAATAACATTTGAAAGCGTGTAGAAAAATATGTCTGCACCTACATATATATTTATTAATTTCATATTCATCGACGCAGTCCGCTCCCTTCTTGGTTTTGTGCCCAAAAGTGGGTCTTTTATAACCCGAGGGAAACACCAAACATTTTATGTCCCATTCAATTCAACTTCCAATAAATACCTCGTTTGACTTCACTGCCCGATCACGACGTACCTACTGCAGCTATAAACAAACAATTTATTGCGTTTTATTTACAGAGATTTTTTATTATACAGGATGTAACATTAACAACAGTCAGTATGGCAAAGTCTGAAACTATTAAGGCATACGAAGATCACTTCTTAGGAATTATATCATCAATTTTAGTAAAACAAGGGAAACTGCATCCATCTTTCGTATAAAAAAACGTTGTCAGTTTGGGAATCCAACTCGCACGTTTAAGAAAATAAAACTTAGATTGTGTAGGTCTTAAACAGTTAAAATGTTACAACTAAAAAGTTTTTTTTTATTACGTAACTAGGATAAATGACAACCATTTTTTTTTTTCAATAGGTACCTAAATACAACATTCATCTCGGTTAGGTGCGTAAAATCATAGTGCAAAAAGAATAATACGCCGACTCGAGCCTCTAGTGAGCGATAATAGCCTAAACACGTAGGGCTGATGCTTATAGGGCCTTCAATCATCAGAAATGCAGAGACGATCTCTATAGAAAACAACTCTCCCCTGTAGGGTAAGAATCGGTGACCATAATATAACGTTAATGAATTATATGTTGAACTAAAAAAAAATATAATTTTCATTACAAAGTCGTGTAGCAAATTACGGTCAAAAGAGATAGTTGAAACGTAGCTTTCGTAAATAAATAAAGTTTATGAAATTGTATTTTTACACCTCTAACTGTTTCTACACCCATTTTTTCAAAATATTTCAAATTGAAAAAGGATTATTTTTGCAATAGCCTCAAATAATAGGCAGAAAAAAAACGGTAAGTACTTTTTTCTCTAGTAAATATGTTTTTTGACAAAATACGTTTCTATATAAATCGCATGTTTCTACAATTATGAATTGCTATTGAGAGATCCATAAATACTGCAATATTTTCTCTTCGAATTCAAGGCCATCTTTGAAACGGGTAATTCTCTTTTTGCGTAATTCCTCTCTCTATGTTTCTCTGCGTGACCCGAAACTTCTCGGCATACTTCTGGGTGGGTATCATAGTTTCTGTACCGTAGGTGAGAAGGGGCATAACACACTGCTCGAGGACTTTGAGGCGTAGAGGTATTTTAGCACGCAAGATTTGTTTGTTAACAGCGAATGCTGCTAAGTTGCCAATGCTAATGCCTGTGCAATCCTTCGTTTCACTTCTGCAATCTAGTTCTCATATCCCAATGTAACCTTAAGTATTCGGTCACTCTTTGCACAAGAAGTTTGTGACGTCAGGAATATTGGTCATGTCATAGGTGTTTTTCCATATATTGCTTAAGTTACTAGTGTTAGACTTAAGTAAATCTACATACTTCTATTCGTCTTTACACACTTAATAATCGTATAATCTTATATACGCACGAGTATTAAACTACACAGTTTAATACTCGTGTGTATAAGATTCAAACTTTCAATGGATTGCTATTTGTACAATCATAATTAATTATACCGCCCTCTAGCGAAAGAATATAAAACTTCTTGCACAATCAAATGCCGTTCAAAAACGCTTTTTTGGTTATAAATATTTTTACTTAAATTAGATTTGACAGTTGTTTCCAAATGAAAATTTAATAGAAGTTTATGAACGTAAAATGATACCAGGTTCTATAGATTCAAATACCCAGCATAAAATTGTTGAAATAATTCACAACAGTAACATTTGAAAGCAGTAGAAGGGTAATAGAACCGTAAGCTCTGTTTCTCTAAATACATTATGAACTGTTTTGAATATTATTAATGAATCTCTCATAATAATAATTGTATTTAGTAATAATTGTAAATCATGATCATATTATTTTCATTATGCATCAGTAGTCAGCTCGTATCTATTTAGCTATTTAATATGAAATATGAAACGGGCTTAATTATTGGTGTTGGTTTGACTGAATGTTACATTTTAATAAAAAGTATTCAACAAGAGAGTATTTAATTAATTTGATCTCATGTTAATAAAAAAAATTACCTTTCGTTTCCGAACTGAAAAAAGTAACATACTTTAAAAATGGTACGTTTTACAACTATTTAATTTAATACAAATCGTAAATATGATTTCTTTTATATTGATACAAAAAAGTAAGAGAAACATAATTTCTTGACAGGCGTTAAAATAGTAACCATTGCTCCTTATCAGTATTTATGTTATCCTCTAATGAGGAAGTATTTAATAATAATTAGTTCCCGAAATCAAACTAGATTTCGCTACGGTACGTTCTTGATTTCTCCACGACAACCCTACCAGGTTTTCTTTCATATTTAAAAGTAAATTAGGTTTGAAAACTCAATAAACAACTCATACTCTATTTGTAATTTTTCGTATTTGTATTGATATCTAAGTTTCGAGCTTTTCAAATTTCAGTTTTTTAATATGTCAGTTAAAGGGAACGGAAATAACTGTCTTTGGTCCATTCGTTTCCTGCAAAAGTCAACTTTCACTAGAGTCGCCATCTAGTGGAGGTGCTTTCTAGTGCTATCATTTTTTTTAAATACTTCCTCATTATTAAAAGTAAATACCCAAAATAAGATAACGTGTCTCTATGATGGCAAGCCGACGATGACGTTAGTAAACTTTATCGATTTTTTTTACTACGAGTACGACGGCAAACTGGTGCTGCAAGGTGTTTTGTAGTTGTGAGCGCTGCAAATTATACAAACATTACGCAGGCCGATTCTTTATCTCAAGTTGATAAGCATTTCAGTATTATTCATTGCTATAACTAAATGGTTATCGTTTATAAGTAGTAGCGTGCGTATCGAGGGAAGTACCGCGTCTTGTTGCTGGTCTAGAGTTTTACGATCTGAATTTTTCGAATCTCATAAATGAAAATGTTTAAGCTGTTTCTTCATTTTCTTGTGACAATATCATGTTTTTTTTCCGTGTCATCACTAGAAGTGGATACCTACGATTTTCTAATGCCGAACGTATGGCCACATAAGGTAATTTTAATTGTAAATTAATGTTTTGTTCTCAAAAAGTGTAAAAAACAAAAAATAAAGTTTTTTACCAACAATATTGTGAATAAAAACAATTCTTACTTGGTTTTCAAATTTTATGTTACTTTTTGTTTATACTCTGAACTTGCATGTCAACCTGAATGAAAGATGATAATTATATAGTTAATTGGAATTTCCATATTACTAACTGCTTATAATATGAGACCTACATTGTGTAACATAATATTTATGATATTGTGCAATAAACATTTAATAAAAATGAGTTAAATTAGTGGTTAAATGCAGTTCAAATTAACTAAATAGAAGTGTTATATTTAATTTGTTTATACTGTATGAGAATAATACATTTTGCATTATAAGATATATAAATATTCTCTTAGAAATTGACTCAATTTTTAACTTATTTTAACTTATTCGCATTGTATGTAACAAGTTTTCTCATTGATAAAACTGTTAACCTACTATCCATACCTACATTAAATAACCAGAAATTTGTTTTGAACTGCAAGTTTGTAATTTTTACTGCTTAAAATAGAATATATTGTTCTTCAATAAAAAAATTACTGTCATATGTAGAAGTAGCTAAGAAATCCTGAACTAAAAATAAATTATTTTAGGTTAAGGGCCCTATTACATCTTTACAATGATTTAAACATAAAATGTTTAATTTTGGTAATGTTTTCATAATTTTAACTTGTTGAATATTGCAGGTTAACTATTGGCATAGTTCATAGCAGCTTCACTTTTCGAAAATTGTGCTTAATTTTTAACTTAACCGAATGCAGCAGGGAAAGATTTATTATATAAGTGACAAAATTACAATAAAAATGTTATGCCGTACAAACTCAGTTTGTTCACCAGTGTAAAGAATTTGTAATAGACCACTCCAAACCTTATTGTCTGCAGTGGTTTTCCCCTAAGTACAATGAGTTACGATAGTCAGGAATAGGTAAATTGACAATATTTTTACTTTTTCAGGATGAACTGTATCTCTGCACACCTATTCGTATATCACCAAACCACAATTATTATATAGGTAATTAGTATTAATATCATAAAATTTTATATACTACTTGTATTATTTTCAAAAAGTAATATAATTATAATCTATTAGGTGTCAGTTAAGAAAAAGGTTTTTCTGTCTATTAGGTATCATTATTAATCAATAAAAATCATTATTTATTAGTTTTGAAATCACTCATTATGTTTTGTACTATGTCGATCAAATAATTCTTTTCCAGCATATATTTACAGTAACATTATATTTCAGTGGGATTTGAACCTAACGCAACAATGCACACAGCTCACCACATGCTTCTTTATGGTTGTTCAGAGCCAGGATCCAATGATTCAGTTTGGTATGTAAGAATTTAATTTTAGAGTAGTGATTAAAAATTGCTGATCGAATAAAATTTGCCTTGCAATAATGATGAAAAACACCTGTTGATATTGAGAAGGTATTTGATAAAATTGACTAATTTCATCCTTCTCTGTAAGCTACAGGAATTGGAATTTGTGTGAGTTTACTTAGATGGTTGGAATCCTACCTGCGACCAGCCCTGCGATAGTGTAAAAATCTGAACCCAAATTTGGAACCACTCGGGTGTCCTAATTTACTTCAAAAGCTGTGTCCGCTCTATCTTAAATTGATAATAATGTTTTGAGACATAAGTGAAGTGAGTGAAATGACATGTTAATAGAATATCTCAGACACATATGAATCAATCAATTTTGATTTGTGTTTTTATACAGAAATGGAATCAATTGAATTTCTGCACTAAATGACGAGAATTGGGACACATGAGTGAATTCGAATTCACTTGAAAAGCAGTCATCCGCTCAACTTTGAGTTGCCAATAATAATGTTTTGTGACATAAGTGATGTGAGTTTCGAAATGACATAGAATTAGAATGTTTGAGACACGTGTGTGATGTCATATGTTATTTTGTATTTTTGTACAAAAATGGAACCAATATAATTCTATATTAAATAAATAATGCAGACTAAATGACGTGAATACGGACTCATGTGTGAATACGAAGTCTTACTATGATCTGTCATTGGTCCACTTCTGTACGTCGCGTACGTCGCGTACCTCTACAACATTAGTCAGTGCTTTCGTTACACGAGGTTTTTAATGTACGCAGATCACACAAACATTTACAAATCAATCCGAACTCTCTCTGGCTGCTTTAAAGTTCAAGATTATTTGGATTGACTGTGCGTTTTACCGACAGAGCAAAATAAACGTAAAAGCTATGTGTTTTTTTAATTTAATACAGTCGAAAAAAGTTCCTATTGCATATAGGAACTTTTTTACAGCTCTATAAAACTAATTACTGGTCAAAAATAAACAGCTCAAGCTTTTATCTAGAAAAATAAAAACAGGTGTATATAAATTTAACTGCGTACACAGCTTCGTAATTATGTCATTGGCACAGTTAACAAGTACTGAACAAATAATAGTTGTGAAGTGTCCGACTACAACTCGGTATGAATTCACATCAATGCTATTTAAATGATATTGTAATGACTGAATGCAGCGGTAGTACCTACTGTATTTTCCACGCAATGCCCATTATATGAATTATCTGAAGATGTTAAAGTATGTGTGACCAATGGTTTTTTTGAACAATCGTTTCCTTATATTTACTTACATATATTTTGAGTGTCAATTTATGATTAAAAAATAATAACATACAATAAAAAATAATATATAACCTTTAATTGAAATTAAATTAATATTCTTTTATGTATATAATGCTTCTATGTATTATGTTTGTTTTATTAAGGGCTGTTTAATACCATCTAGTTGGAATTCCACACTATCAGTCACGGTCAAATTTCCGTTCTAAACTATTGTTGGTTCCCTAATGAAATGAAATGAAAATATCTTTATTCAAGTAGGCTATTACAAGCACTTTTGAATCGTCCAAAAAAATTTTTTAAATAATCAAAATAGTCATCAACTTTATAATAGCCTTTACTCATAAGTATATTCTTTACAAGAATTTGAAATTTATTTATGGGTAGGTCAATTACATTTTGTGGAACTTTATTGAACATAGCAATACATTTACCCAGAAATTATCCTCTGGTTTTTTGAAGTCTGAAGCTTGGAACGGCAAGTTTATCTTTATTTCTTGTGTTAAGATTATGAACACTACTTTTTTTTTTGTGAAGGAATCGTAATGTTTTCTTGTGTACATAATATTCTCATAGATATATTGAGAGGCAACAATCAGAATATTTATTTCCTTAAATATTTCTCTGAGAGATTCCCTAGACCGTAAATTATATATAGCACGGACAGCTCTCTTTTGTAGAATAAAAATATCCTGAATGCTAGCCGCAGAACCCCACAACAATATACCATACGTCATTACACTATGAAAATAACTAAAATATACCAATCTTGCCGTTTCAAACATTTGTCAAGAGTCTAATTTTCTTAACAGCAAAAACTGCAGAACTCAGTCTACTTGACAAGCTATCAATATGAGGATCCCATTGCAGTCGGTAATCCAGTGTAATACCAAGGAACATTGTCGATTCTACTAACTCAACTTTTTCACTATTTACATTTATAAGTGTACTGACATGCCTCACATTAGGTAATGCAAACTTTATGCATTTCGTTTTATTTGAATTGAGCTTTAAATTATTATTATCAAACCAGTGTAGAACTTATTCTGTAAAGCTCTACTGTAAAGAGACTTACTTTAAAGTTATTGTATACTATTCTATAATGCCTAAAATTTTGTATCAAGTTTCGCTGCGATGATGAATGATCTCTTTATTTATTCGTCTTATTTAGTATCAACAATATATGTTTATTTACGAAGAAATATTCGCGTGCTAATAATATAAACATCATGCTGTTTATAAAATACACTGGCATCACATGTCGTATTCAGTTCGAGAATTATTCAACCACACGAGTGTAAACACTTTCTGATGAGATGAATAAATAAGCGAATGTGAATAACATTCTTATTCCTTACTTTTAACCTTAAAAAAATACAAATATAGATAGGTACAGTATTTTATTAATTACAGTACCTATCGGATCGGATTAAACAATTCGACTCCAGGGTCGAGTCGATGTAACTTATTTCTGCCTCGGTTTTGAATCTATAACAGAATTTTTATAATAGAACAGCATTGTTGATTCGAAATGTCGAAATGTTTTGCGTTGGATATCTTTTATCGTTTGTGTGTGGCCCAGCAGAGCGTCCTTCTAACTCTAGCCATGATTTTAGTCATAGGATACATCTTATAGATGTTATGGCTATATTCGGTTTCATTTACTATTTTGATATTTATTTAGGTAACTAATTACGAACGAACAATAAAATATTATGATTATAAATATTATAATTATAAAAAGACATGGCAAAGCAGTAACATAAAACGAAATATTGCTAGAATCAAGGAGAGATATTTAGGCCATCGCTTTGCTCATAGAAGCGAGTGTGGGCAGCGGGGCGGAAAGTAGTGTTGTGATAAAGACAAAAAATAACTTAAAAACTTCTTAACAACCGTGTACCTAATTCAAACTGGTGAGCGGCAATACGCGGCCAACTTTAACCCGCTCTCGTTGCCTCTCCACACCCGCTCTTGATAAGGACACTCCCGTGCGTCTTCTTGGTAATTCTTTTATGTTCGAGCAGTTTTTTTGTCTCTGATTGTAGGTCATGTGGTGAAATGCAATCGAATGAAATAGACGACAGATACAACACTGCTAGTCCCTGCCGCACCGGGTCACAGGTATGCCTTCAACAATTCTCAACCTTTTTGGCAATTCGACCTAAAATTCATAAAAAAATATGATTAGTTACCTATAAAATTACTTGATTTGGTCACAGCGTCTTTTAAAAATTCTCGCGATCCATCCCAATACCACCCGTGACTTGATCATCTTTGATATGAGCTATTAAGGTTGATTTTAACTTATTAATTCCTCATACCGTTTAACTAGCCAAAGTTACATATCAAATTAATTCCATTCAAAAAAGTGTATTCGAGCACTTTGGTAGTAGGGAATTATGTAAGCCTCTGTCCAAAAATTTTTTTAACGATTACATGTACGTTTATTTTGGAACTGTGCTTATTTGTCAAAAAAGACCCCGTATATTTTGAACTATTGCACGTAGTGTTCGTTAAAACAAAATTGTAATATCCAAGTGTAACTTGACAATATTCTAGGAAAATGTATTATAATAGATCTGCCAATAAATAATAACATGTTAAAATATATATGAATTGTTTTTAGACAAGAATATTTATTCGACTCAAGAATACATAGAATCTAAATATTAGCATTCTTATAAGAATAATGATCAATCATGAATTAAATTTATGAACATGAGTTAAAATTTATGGATATTTTATTTCAAAATCAAATTAAATTATCTTTTTATTTTTGTTGACAATAAAACTGATATTAATATGATAATGCAAAAAATATAATGACAAAATGTATGTGTAATTTGTTATATACCTATATAAATCATAATATAAACGTAAAAGTTCAGTTTATATATAGACCTGTAATATAACCTTTCATTAAAATCATAAGTCCACTAAATAAGGTAAAAAAATCACTAATATTGCATTGTCGCATACTCGCATATTTATCATATAATGTTATAAGAAGAATCTTCATAATTTGATTCTTTCAACCTATTATAATATAATGGTATTTGTCCCGTTTACGTGTACCCACTTAGCACATTATTATGAGCCTGTGTTGACTGCATGACGCATGACGCATGAAGCCACTTCCACTTGACATTCAGTAATATTGATTTTATTCGCGTGAAATCGTCCTTGATCAAACAGATAATACCCAACGATAGATAGAAGCCATGCGGGCTCAGTGAAAGTCCCCAGTTGGTATGAAAGGGGTTAAAATATTTTTACAGTAACCTAAGGCGGATTTACTATAGGACCAAGTTAGGCCCGGTCCTAGAGCGGCCAATGGTAGAAAATATATGTGCAAAATACCAGCCGAGATAAATGGGAACAAAATAGCTGTAATTTCGCACATATTCCAAAGTATCGCGTTGGAATTACGACTGTTATTGCTCAGATATCTATTCTGACATCCCGATAGATGTTACCATAAAAAAATGATTGATCGATTGATGAATCCAATATAATTTTCTCTTCCCACCAGATTGTATACGCGTGGGCAAGGGACGCTCCAAGTCTGCAGCTGCCTGAGGACGTTGGGTTCCTTATCGGCAAAGACTCCGCCATCAAGTACTTAGTACTACAGATACACTACATGCACCGCTTCCCTGGTGAATAAATATACTAACAATATTATTAAACATACTGTCTATTTCGAAATTCCCATTGCCTTATTTGCTAGAAACATTCCATTTATTTACTTGCAAGTAAATAAGTGGAATAAAAAAGTTATTTTATGTAATTGTTTTAACAAAATTATAATAGCTATTCTATATAACTTAATTTGCGCAAAACATAAATTTCTTAATTTCAATCGATATCGATAAATGATAATTATTATAATAATATAATTTTGCCAATTTTTTTATTCACAGAGAACACGTTCGACAATTCCGGGGTATTCCTGAAGTATACTAAAACACCGTAAGTAGTCATAGCATTATATTACTTTATATTGGCTGACAAAATCCGTGACCTTGGGGTTATATTGAAAAAAAAAATGTTTGTTTTTTTTTGCTTTATATAAGATTTTGATTCGATCTCAACTTGAGTATTCAGTTCCTCTTTGGTGTTCATTTTACAAATATATTGATAGGATAGATAAAACAAAAATTACGTATTATATACACTTTAAATATTTTTATCTTTAAAAACCATATCTTGACTCATTAAAATATTGATGTTGCTCGGCATATGTAATGGCAGATTTGATTGTAATAGCCTTACAAACAATATATGTAATACTGTATTGAGACGGGGGGCTCGCCTCGTTTGTTCTACCCATAGAAATGTAGAACTAACGCCGGGGTGCGGGTGCCCGCATTCGACTTGAGGACACGTACAATATATACTCGAAAATATATACAATACAAAATATATACAATTAGATATTCCTCTCAAATATATAAGAAAATTGTAATTGATGCTCTCACACAGAAATCGTCATAATACGTTATTGTTCAATTATTTGGTTTTAATATTTAATTACACACTCGTTCTTTGCTAAAATATGTATTATATCGAAGACATAGGTGTGGGTTATATAAAAGATTAATGTACAACTGTTTGATGTTCGAAAATGTAAAAAATAAATAAACATAAAAATAAATCAGGTCTACTATAAGAAAACTTTCTGTTTGTTAAGGTTTTAATGCCGGTTTTCGCTAAACTTATGACTCGTACAAATCTGACGTCTAAATATTTGGGCATTGTCTAAGGTGAAAATGCGTTTCACCAATGACTAGGAGCCATCTTACGATCTTAAGCAACGCTTAACGTTAGGAGATGCATTAGGCGACGCTTTGCGTTAGGCATTTGCGTAATGTGACATGTACATAATTTTTTGGCCATAACAGATGTGTCAGGAATTCAAGCAATTGAGTTTGTTGGAATCATAGATCAATGATTGGAATAAAGGAATTCATATAATAGAATTAAGATAGAAACCATGGTTTTGTTTGATTTTTTAGACTTGATAGATAGCATTGACAACTACGAGCACCCAGCTCGTTTAAATGCAAGTCCACATATAATTCAAAATTCTAATTTTTGTTATTGTATCATTACGTGTAAATGCCACTAACGTGACATTGGCGGAATTATGTAAATGCAAATGCGCTATACACTGAGAAAAAGGAGAAATACTGAAACATGCAAAATCATAGACAATCGTCGCCAATCTAAGCCAGTGCTAAGTCCTTACTTAGCATTACTAACGTCACTAGTTTGGTGAAACAAAAAATCTGCTGAAGCTATTTTTAATATTGGGTGATTTTAGTTAATCCTTGTTCTAGGTTAGTATTGATAGGGTTTGTAATAAGTTTGGTAAATACAGTTCAATGGAAAAAAAATGTTAAATAATACCAATTGCTTTGAAAGTTCATTAAATGTTGGCAACAGAACAGTTTGAGATTGATATGTATAAAGCATTAACAACATATAGTTATAATACAAGACGGTCAAAGAAAAAATGTTTAAAAAGCCAAGGACAGGCTTTGTCTCAGAAGTGCCTAAGTCGAAGCAATCTTTTAAAAAAAGCCTTTCTGAATATGATGTAACTGATTTCATAAATTGGAGTTAATTTATTTTGGGTATAAATTTCGGAATATTGCACAAATAAATGAATAACTAAAAGAAAAACATATATAATATGTTTACGTTTATTAGTAGAGAGATATATATATTATGCTCATATTACCTCATATTCAGAAAAATATGTTAAGAGCGTAGGATTTATTGCCGATAAACTGTTACAGAGTTTGGCAAGTTGATGTTTATAAAAAAAAAAATATTAGCGCTACTCACAAGCGGTTAACGGATAAATGTTTTCATATCTCGAATGAATGTTATATATTATGTAAATTGTTAGTTCGGCAGCTGTTCGTATCGATGTACCATCTACATGACGTGTATTATTTACATAGCATGCGTCGCGAGGCAGGCGTCCTGCTGCTGGGTACGGGCGGGGTGGTGGGCGCGCGTCGAGTGGAGCACATGGAGACCGCGTGCGTGCTGCGGGAACACAAGACCATACATCCCTTCGCCTTCCGTACTCACACGCACGCGCTAGGTAACTATCATCATCATCGGCCCTTTATTTTGTCCCTACTGCAGAGGCTCAGGTCTTCCTTAAGGATGGTTAGGGAGCATGGGCCATGATCCTCCACGCTGGCCCAATGCGAATTGGCGGGTATTAACGGCTATTAATGCAGCCGGGAGCAACGAGTTAAAGAGCCTTCCGAAGCACGGAGTAGCTCGATATAATAATTTTTTGGTCACCCATCCCGTGATCGACCCTTGCGAAATTTGCTTAACGATAACGATCGCATGCTGCGGCGCATATCCACTACGCCACCGAGCTACTCATTCATAACTATAAAGGTGACTATATAGTACAGCAGCTTTGCTCAATTTTAGAGTTACATATCCGAATGGTAAAACGGGGACCTATTACTAAGACTTCGCCGTGTTTGTCACAAGGCTGCCACTTATAAACCGGGAAAGTTAGACAGTTGCAAATGCTAAAAACCAAAATAAAATAAATAAAAATATGATCGTGCGCGAGTCCAACTCGCACTCGGCCGGTTTCAAAGTCAAAAGTAATTTTTATTCAAATAGACTTTTTAAAAGTACTTTTGAATCGTCCAATATTTTTTTCCCTACCATTCGTTTAGGATGTCTTTTGGAGGATAAAAAGAACGAGCAAGAAACTCACCAGTTCTAATAGAAGTAATGACATTCACAAAAACCTTATTATTACCAGATCAATACGTTATAAATAGAGAATAAAAAAAACTATGGTCTTCTAATGATAACATAATAATTTATTAATAATGGCAACAAGATAATTTTTGATATATAATGAGTTTAGAAGAAATCACCTATCTAGTTGCTGGACCATCTTAATTCCGAACAACTAGTGGCCGCTAGTGACTTCGTCCGCGTTTTCCATTATTTCTTCGCTCCTAATAGTTGCAGCGACAAATGGTCTATTCAACATAAAAAGAATTTTTCAATTCGAACCAGTAGTTCCTGAGATTAGCGCGTTCAAACAAACAAACAAACAAACAAACTCTTCAGCTTTATAATATTAGTATAGATATTATATCTGTTATATAATCGGATACCTTGTAATAAGTATTTTTTAACAGTAGATTTAAACTGTATCAACCTTAACCTTATTGAATCAACTCGAAGTGTGACCATACCACCAGGCACGGTGGTGTCGGGGTACGCGATACGTCGCGGCCCGGGCGGCGACTCGTGGCGGCTGCTGGGGCGGCGTTCCCCGCAGCTGCCGCAGATGTTCTACCCCGCGGCGGACGCGGCGCCCGTGCGCGGCGGGGACGCGCTGGCCGCGCGCTGCACCATGAACAACACGCGCGCGCACGCCGTCAGCATCGGGTATGTTAGAGAGTAAATATTGTACACATCGAACGACCGAGGTTTGGTCGTTTATCGGACAGCTCATTGGCCGCGGCAGTCACGCCCACCCGGTGACGTGATTCCCCAAACCGGCGCGCGGGCGCAGAACGCGCTGTGATTGGCCGGTCGTCGCGCGTTATTAGTTTCTCATGTAAGCTTAAGTTTTAGTATAAAATAAAGCAGTTTTGTAAATATTAAGTCGAGCCAGTCAGAAACTGAACTGAACAAATAGTCTCGAAGCCGTCTTATAATAATAAGCCCTCTTTGATTTCCGCGACCCTGAACCGCCATTATACAGTCCAGATTTGAGCCATCGAAAGAGAGATCATCGACGGTGTGATCCTTCGAGAAGCCGAATCTAAACACGAATAGAACGTTCGCGATCCAGCCAACGTCGAAGCAAAAATGGTCACAAGGAATCAAGACGAAGAAAATCAGCGTCGTGTCTTCGACCAACCGAGAGATCGCCCTCAAATACATCGACTATACAGGGACGGCTCGAGATAAGTCTCCTGTGTGAGACTACGCACCGCACCGCAAGTGTCGCAACTAGCGCCTAGTGCGAACCGCGCTGGAGCAGATATTGCCGGTGCACGCGTCGCCTTGACCATGACTACCATGATCGCTCGGCAGCGAGCAACGTAGCACGCCAGAAGCTACGGATCAAGATAGAAAAACGATTGGCCGCCTTAAGACGTCGAGAACTAGCAATCGAAGCGGACCACATAAGGAAGACGCTCATCATCGAGTTGGAAACTAGATGGAGCAGATAACCAACCCGAAATTGTCGAACCGACAGTTAAACTGCAATATCGAGTAGCTCGATGACGCGAACGTTAACAACTGTGGCAGAACCATGGCCGCCTGAACCCGACACGCGACGCCCAGATTCCGATCTGGAAGGAACGAAGACGGTCGTCATTGCGAGGCAGGGGCATCGATCAACTCCCCTCTGTCTTTAAGACTCTTGTAAACACACGAACGCTACCGCATCAAGCATCAGACCTACCAATATTCTCCGGATCACCTCTGAAATAGCTACAGTTCGCGACAGCGTTTTCTCAGGTGAAATGCCACCTGATATCAAGTTGGTGCAACTTCGCCGAACGCCGAATTGGCGCCCAAACGCCAATCTACTCAAGCTATCATCGTTTTTGATGAAGGAAGCTGATCGCTGCATGAACTACGTGTCGATCTTTTACCGCACCCACTACATTACGACGAGCACAGCGAGAAGCGCCTCGCTTCACCCCCAGATCGGATGCAAAAAGAAAACTGTGTACGACGCCACAGAGGAAGAACCACATCGCAGATGCGCTTTGTGTCAGGAAGCCCACACACTGCCTAGCTGCCCAAAGTTTAAGCAGCTGAAATACGACGACCAATAAGTAGGGGCTTTGCTTCAAATGCATTGTGGGCCGACACCGTTAACTGAACTGCTGACAGAAGCTCTGCGGTATCAACTAAAAATAATACTTATTTTAAAAGCGGTAATTTTTTTCAAAAAAGTGTTGAAGGGTGGGCGGTTATCATTTAATAAACTACAGAAAACGTCAGCCTGACTTCAATGGTTCTTGAAATAAGCTTTTAAAATTATTATTATTTTTCACTTTTATTAAATTTAAAGTCGGTAATTTTTTTTGAAAAATGTTTTTTGATACTGATCTCTGTATTAAATGGCGATAGTTATGTAGAAAGCCGCCGGCTCGCTTACTTTATAATGTTATAATTATGATATATACAATTACTAGCTTTTCGCCAGCGTGGTCTTGTATTATACATAAAAACTTTCCTTTTGAATCATCATATCTATGAAAAAAACGGCATCAAAATCCGTTGCGTACTATTAAAGATTGAAGCATACATTGGGATAGAGAAAGCGACTTTGTTTTATACTATGTACTGATTACTAGGGATGATGCCTGGGTAAAAAAAATCCAGGGTAAAAAAAAACATATTTAAATCCATCACTCCGATAAATTAAAAATACTAGATATTTTTTTGCTTCCATTTAACAAGAAACAGATTAGATAATAGGCATTATATCGAGGAGTGCGGGCTTCTTACGTAACAACTTACTTTTTGAACACTGAAGGGTGAGATAGACTATTGCGCATGACAAATTTTCGTTTGTACAGAGCAGACCTGTCCACCTAAAAACTATCTGTATTATTTTAATGACCATAAGATTAAAATACAACGCATTTTGTGCCTGTTTCACTGCCCTCAGCGGGGGTTACGTACTTGATTTATTTGCGTGTTGAAATTTAGCCGTTTGCGCAAGTACGTCCGCGGGCCATGTTAGTTGTATCTTACTGTGCGTTTCGGTTGTTCTAGGGCGACGAATAAGGACGAGATGTGTAACTTCTACCTGATGTACTGGGTGGAGAACGGCTCCCCCCTGGAACAAAAGTACTGCTTCTCTCCCGGCCCGCCGTATTACTACTGGAATCGGGCCCCAGAAGGATTCAATAACATTCCCGATGTGGAAGCGAGCACCCTCTAACTTAATTTCGGTGAGATATAATCGTAACGCGACCTCTAATTATGTTGTAAAATATTGACTGTGTATTTTTATATACAGGGTGGAATAAATATACTAGTACCTAGTACTATAGGGCGAAGTAAAAATAATATGCTATCAAACGATAGGAACGAAAGAATTGAGTACGTTTAATGAGGAAGTATTTTAAGAAAAAAAAGAAAGCCCTAAAAATGCCCCTCACTAGATGGCGACTCTAGCAAAAGTTGATTTTTGCAGGAAACGAATGGACCAAAGATGGACATTTCCGTTCCTTTTAATCAACATATTAAAAAACTAAAATTTGCAAAATTTTAAACTTAGATATCAATACAAATACGAAAAAGTATAAATAGAATATGAGTTGTTTATTGAGTTTTGAAAAGAAAACTTTTATACATGAAAGAAAACCGGAAGGGTTGTCATGGAGAAATCAAGAAAGTACCGTAACGACATCTGGTTTGATTTTGAGAACTAATATCTTTTTTTTTAATACTTCTTCATTTGAAGTTATAGAGTAGTATTTTATTTAATAAAAAACCTATTTTGTTATAAAAAAGATGTATTACATTATTGTCTTTATCAAGTGTCAAACCACTGCGACATTGCTAAATAATATTTGAACGTACGACATAGATCAGAGTGGGAACATTTTCTAATATTGCAAAAGATTATACGACAGGTATATTTATTCTAACCCTGTATATTTAACGTTTTTATGCGTGATGTAACTTGGAGCTGTTACAATCGACATTTTGACTGATTTCAAAAAGATACTTGTTATGTGTTAGGAAATTACGTCTCTTTTTTAACGTCGTTAATTTTTAAAACTATAAAATCAATCGCATTTAATGGAATCTTGACATTATTATTGTAATATGTGTGTGAGAAAATGTTACTACAACTTTATATTCATAAAGCTCCAAGTCCTACACCGAGTATATAGATTTAGATACGTTTAGTTACTTACCGTTGTCTACCTGTTACCGTTACTGGTTAGTTACGTTATTCTATGCACAGTTTTAACTATTGCACACTTATGTTTGATTGTATTTTTCTCCAGTAACCTAATTAGGTAATGCAATAACAACCTTAACTGACTAATAATAAGATATATCTTTATTACTAGAATATTACGAAGTGTAAATCTATATGAAATTGCCGCTAAAATAAAATCGTATTGAAATTCTATTAATAAAGTAAATTTTAAATCTTTGAAAAATTACCCTGTTATTAGGTTAAAGCGGCGTTTCCTAAACTTTTCTGGTCCATGGACACCTACTTTGTATGTTTATTTTAGACAGGAATTCCCAAAGTATTTTTTTCATGAAATTAATCAAACCCCCCCATAAAATATTCACTTTAAAAATCCTCAAATTTTTTCTATTGATACAAAAAACTTATCAATCTAAGAACTGTTTTAGTGACTTGACATTATTTTCTCGTCTTCACCTAAAATTACAAATAAGAGCTTGTGTTAATTGATCAACTTTCTTTATTCCCAATTTTAATTTCGTTTATCTCGATTACCCCCTTGCTAACAGATCCCAACCTCAGGGGTCGATATAGACTATTTTAAGAATTCCTGATTCAGAGAATAATACATTATAAATATCTACTGCCAGTATAATATAATCGTAGTTATCAGCTAGTAAATACAAATAAATTATATACGTATACGTATTCAAATATATTTAAATTCTCAGTACCTTCAGCACCAGTGTAGTGTAATTATATTATAGCAATTAGCATAGATACCCGATAACATATTTGGCTTGTATTTAAAGGAATATTAAACGAAACCAATCTAACCAGCCGATACTAAATGTGCATTAAACATTACTAAAGTTTCAAATGTGCGCGTAGTAATTTTTGATACGCATATTAGTATTATTTAGTGTTTAAATATTAATTTTATTTATCTTTCTCGTTAAGTTTATGTGCTTGTGTTGTATTGTGTCGCAGCCAAGTGGTATAATCAGCCGACCAATTAGACGGCTAGCCCTTCAACGAAATTGAATGGCGCCGTTCAATTAAAGGGCTAGTCGCCCAATTGATAGGCTGATTATACCACGTGGCTGCGACATATTCATATAAGTTGGATTATCAAATATTTAAGCTTCATATAGCGACGATCTGACTATTTTGTGTGTATATATTAAATGTCAAAAAATTATAACATTCCACATAAAGTATATAATTAACAAGTATTTAGATTTCTAGTCAAAAATATAATGAAACAATAAATATAATATATTATTTCATTATATATAAAGCGATGATATATACATAAAAAATTGTTTTAATCGGTGAAAAGTTTAAAATAAATGTTTATAGATTTAAATAATTATTTCATTATTGCAGATCTGATTAATTTATTTTATTTTTCGACTATAATATTCTAACCAAAATACTTGAATTTAAAATATTATAAAGCCTTCTCTGTAGGTACTATTTTCTAAGCGAAATATTATATATACTAAACGACTCCGGCTTGAAATTTGGACTTCGATTTGTACATAAATATGTTATAAATATCAAATAATATACATTTATCAAAGCTATATTAGTATATTTGGAAATGACCAGTACCAAAATCGAGACATTTCAAAATAAAATTGTATACTACATATTTTAAAGATGGTACAGGGATGTGTAAGAAGATAACAGAAGCATAATAAGCTCAATAACGCGATACTAATTCATTACTCGAAGTGAGACTTCGATATATCAGGTGCTAACAACTCAGTTACAAATATTTTAAAAAATTAAAAAAATAAACATATATTGAAAAATCCTGTCATTTAACTCAATGGTATTTAAAACTGTTATTTATGTCAATGTTTCTTGTCATTATCGTACAAATGGAATGTCATTTGCCGTTCAAGACAAAGTGGCCAGTTTAATGATAATTAAAAGAGCTCATCACATATCAGGCTTGTAACAATATTTTACGTAGCTGATTTGTTTTCCAGTTTTCTCAAAAAAATCATCATAGAATCTATAATGGTTTGTTTAGATAAATCTACCACGAGAGCCGTATACTGTCAGCTGTGAAAATATTTGTAACTCATTTGTTAGCATCCTATATAATTTGTGTGTATAAAGCGGTGTCTCACTTTGTCAACAGGTGTGTGTATTGCACATAAGAGAGTGTATATAAGAGACATATATGTTTAGTTAGTTTATGTAACTTATTCAGACACTTTTGACAGTATTATTATTATTTTATAACTTTCTAAAGTTTCTGAA